CTGAAAGCAGAAGGTGTCGAGCACCGAAACAGGCAAACCGCTTGAAACATCCCCACAATCTGGCCGTGAATTGGCCCGTGTAATCACCCCTGGCGGCTCCCCTTAGGGGTGCTGGAACCAGCGACCCGCCTGAGAGATCCTCGCAATCTGCTCTCCGGGCCCAGCACAGACCCGAAAAATCCGCGCGGTCTCCGAAGGGTTACACTTGCGCTGATGGGCTTGTGTTTTCCGCCACCAAGTTGGATGGGGGGAGGAGGAGGAGGAGGAGGAGGAGGAGGAGGAGGAGGAGGAGGAGGAGGAGGAGGAGGAATAATAATAATGAGAATAATAATGAGAATAATAAGAATAAGAATAAGAAGAAGAAGAATAATAATAATAATACTAATACTAATACTAATAATAATAAGGAGAAGAAGAAGAAAAATAATAATAAGAAGAAGAAGAGGAGGAGGAGGAGGAGGAGGACCCCCTCCCCTCCAACTTATGGTGGTGGTTGTGGAAAACAGGCCCATCATATGCCGTTTGGGGCGGACCACTGAACAACCCGCGCGGACCTGGGAAAAGGGGGGCGCGAGGGAGAGGGACGTCAGGGGAGGGGGCGGGAGGAGATGAGTCGGAGATTGGCAGGCCTACCCTGACACGTCGATTAGCGAATTGGCCGTTTTCGGTTCGCGAGAGGGCGTCGCGGCCGTCCTTTTTGCGGGTCCAGGTCCGTCGGTATCGGTACTAGGCAGTTTTCACTAGAGGGTGGTTTACTAAAGGGAGGTTTGTCCACCGCCGAATGCGGAGGGACAGCCAGAGGACAGGGAGGGCACAGCAAAGCAGAGCGCCACCAGAGACCCGACGTCTCCAGGATCTCCCACTCATTGCGAGACGAGAAGAGCTCGGATCTGCCGAGCCCACTGAGAGGGGGCCCCTGCCGGCTGGGGGACACGCAGGCCTGGAGACGGCCACTGGAGGCCGCGGGGCAAGGGTGCCCGCGGCTCGGCCCGTCTGGCTGCGTCACGGTCGGTTGCGTGGAGTCGGTTCGGCTCGGTCTGGTGGTCGTGGGCTTGCTGATTTCGGTCGGCTTCGGTTTCGTTGCCGGTCCAGCCAGTTTTCCGGTCGTACTGTCGCCGTGGGCGGCCTCGGTGAAGGAGAAGGGAGGAGAAGGCCGATGGCCAGCGGTGCTGCGAGAGCCCTGCAGCTGCCTTGACGCTACGGCCTATCGAGCCGTCGCCGCCCCGTTCTCTCCGAGGGGGGACAGGGTCGCAGGGGCCTCCCTGCTCCTTTTCCTCATCTCTCACTCTCCCATGTCTTCCCCATGCTCCTCGCCGAGGCGGGGGTTTATCCATAGCCGCTGCCTCGGGGATCAGTCTTGGGGGTCCTGGGGCGCCAAGTATCTCCATACCCACCGCCTGCTGAAGTCCCCGAAGGTTGATCCCCCAGGCGATGGGTATGACACCGGAGGTGAGGGGGTGAGATCGAAGTGGAACGGAGAGCCCCCCACCAGGAAATCGGTTTGGGTTTCGTGTTCGTGCGTGCCGTGCGAGCGTGGGTGGGCGAGAGAAAAGTCTCCTGTGGCTGAGGCGCGGCCAGACCAAATGATTCTCCCTCCGGCAAGCGGTGGCGCGCGGTTTCCCGCCGGTGTCCCGGTTGTGGCTGGGCCCCGGCCGGACCAACTGATTCTCCCTCCGGCAAGCGGTGTCCCGCCGGTGTCCCGCCGGTGTGTGTCCCGCTGGTGCGGAAACGATAGTGAGATCGATGACGAAACCGATTGTGAGATCGACAGTGAGATCGATAGTGAGACCGATAGTGACATCGATCGTTAAATCGATAGTGAGATCGATAGTGATATCGATAGTGATATCGATAGTGACATCAATTGTGAAATCGATAGTGAGATCGATAGCGAGATCGATCGAGTGAGATCGATTGTGAGATCGCTTGTAGGATCGATAGTGAGAGCGATAGGGGGATCGATAGTGAGATGGACCATGAGATCGATAGTGAGATCGATAGTGGAGTTGATAGTGAGATCGATGGATCGTGGGATCGATATTGAGATCGAGAGTGGAATCGACCGTGGAATCGATCGAGTGAGATCGATAGTACGGTCGATAGCGAGATCGATCGTGGGATCGATAGTGAGATCGATAGTGAGATGTACCATGATATCGATAATGAGACCGATAGTAAGATCGATAGCGGTATCTATCGTGAGATCGATCGATAGTGAGATCGATATTAAGATCGATCGTGAGATCGATCATGAGACCGATAACGAAATCGCTTGTGAGATCGATGGTGAGATCGGTCGAGTGAGATCGATAGTGAGATCGATAGTGGGACCGATAGTGAGATCGCTCGTGTGAGATCGATAGTGAGATCGATCGATAGTGAGATCGATTGCGATATCGATTGTGGGATCGATAGTGAGATCGATTGAGTGAGACGTTGGTTTCTCCTCCCCTTCTCACCTCCTTATCACCCAAAGGGTGGTCGTATAGGTATACTTGCAGGAGTATGTGGAGCCTTTGATGCACTGCCGTCTCAGCGTCTCAATGTTCTGTACTCATTGGGGCTCAGGCTTTTTCTCTCGGGGGAGATCATATGAGCCCCCGCCCCGTCTTCGGCCCGCTCTCGGTGCTTGCCGCATCGGCGCCTGGGCTGGCCTCGCTGTTTTGGCAGGCGGCGCAGGGCAGTTTCGGCCCAGGGGTCCCGCGCGCTGTGCAGTCCGCGGGCGCGGCTGCGAGGGGGCCCGTGGACCCCGACCCCGACCACGGGGTCTGTCCTGCGGTGGCCTACCCGCCGCCGCCACCGTGCCCGCCCTGCACGGCAGGGGCGTGCCCACTCTGCCCCGAAGTCTCGGGGGAGTTGGGACAGTCCGACTACATCGGCTGGGCCCTCGCCATCGTGAACGTGCTGGTGACGCTGGCCGTGCGCCTCTGCCCTTGTCGGCCTCGCTGGCGCGAGGCATCGTCAGGACCTGTCCTGGAGGAAGAGTGCTCGGATGCTGCCGACGACCCCAGCATCATCGCCATCCGTGCCAAGGCGCTTCGGCAGAGGGGGGCTCTTCGTGATCCAGTGGCGCTGCGGTCCCAGTAGTGGCCATGGTGCAGGTCGGAGACTATATACTCATTCGATACAGTCTTGCGGATGACGACGCACCACTCTACCACGAGGCCCTCATCACGGGGGTGAAGGCGGGGTCGCCGAATGTCGTGAAGATCTACACGCTTGATGGCGATCATTATGAGTTGGATCTCACGATCGCAGATGACGTATACTCAGTCCACTGGTTAGGAGATCAGGGAGCCTTTCATCCAGGTATTCGGAACGACAGGTGCTATCGTTTCGCTCGGAAGCCGACTGCGGCCGCGCAGCGCGCCCTCATCCGCGACAGCCGGATCATGTTGGGAGGGGTCGCGCAGCAGCGTCCTCTTGTCAGGTTGGCCGCGGGCCCAGGGGAGCAGGTCGGCGGCCTGGCCCGAGCCCCAGCACAGCAGACGGGGCCTGTGCCCCAGCGGGCACCCCCGGGCCGCGTGTGGGTCGTCGCCGAGGATGTCGGATCTCTGCGCCGCGGGGGGGTCATTGACGAATTGCACGCCGAGTCCAGGGTCCTGGGGAACAAAACCGTGATGCCGACGGTAGACGGAGATGTGGCCATCATGAGACAGATAGACCGCAAGGACCCGGACGACTATATCCACGATGATTCGATGGTTTTTCTAGTCCTGTGACGGGACGCCGCCGTCGGACGTTTGCCGATGCGGTGACCCACATGACGGATGACATGCCTGAGGGGGGCCTTGATTTGACAGGCCCTCGCACAAGCTGGTGCCGCCTGCAGGGCACTGCTTCCCTGTCCTAGACGCCAGTGGCGCAGTCGGAGCATACCCGCAGTGCAGTAGGCGGTGCTGCAGATTACAGCGCGTCCGGCCACTACATGGGCTGGTCCACGCGCAGGATGGTGTCCTCATTGCCCCTGAACTTCGCCAGCATGTCGCCGACAACCTACGAGGCGAGGCTCAGGTCGCCAATGAGGCGAGGAAAGCGAACGAGGAGCAGCGGCTGCGCAGGCAGCCGAACCAGAAGAACAATAAGGAAGAACGCCCACCATGAGGGCCTCGAGGAGTGGCGGGCGCGGGGGGTGGCCGACCCGCGCTCGCGCGGAGGCCAGCGCATGTGAATCCGAGCGTCGTGATAGCTTGGGTCGGGGTTCTATGATTGGGCAGCTTGGGCCAACAGCGTTTGATTTTCGTCGCGTGCCACCCCGAGAGCTTCTAGCTGCGCCTCCTGCCCCCATCGCCCCACCTACCTCCCTTGGGCCCTCGCGCTGCACGCGGAGGAGGTCGGCTCGACGCCGAGGGGCAGAGCAGAGGGTCAACGAGGCGCTCACCGTTTTGAATGAGATGAGAGGAGGGGCCAAAAACCCTTCGGCCGTCACTAGCGCAGAGCGTCTCTCAGGGGGCCTTGCTCGGGCTTGCCTCCTCGCTGCCTCGCCGACTCATGCGCGCCGCCGCCGCGGGGCCGCTCAAGAGCTCCTGGCCAACGTGGTCGACTACGCCGGCGTCGACCAGGGCGCCGCAGCGAGGCCGTGCAAGCGCTCTCTGGCGTCGATCCCAGCGATTGACTTGCCTGCCTTTAACAGGGGTTTGGTCTGCCAGGGCAAGCCGATGCTCGTCGTCGTCATCACCATCATCATCGTCATCTTTATCGCATCAGCATCATCGTCAGCATCATCACCATCATCAACAACAATATCAGCAACATCATTTTAATCATTCCGTTTTCATCATCATTATCATCATCATCATCATCATTTTCACCATTCCGTCGTCATCATCATCATCATCCCCATCATCATCAACGCGGCCCCAAGAGCGCCCCAAGAGGGGCCCAAGAGGACCCACAAATATTATCATCAAGACGGTCCAAGGCCTCCAAGACGGCCCGAGAAGGCCTGGACCCCAAGACGGCCCCCAAGGACCCCGCTCAAGTTTTCTGCCAGCCTAAGACGGCCGCCCTGGCTCAAGTTTTCTGCCAGCGCCTACAGGCGCCACCGCCGCCCGACGGCCTGCCCGACGGCAGCCCGACGGCCTGCCCGACTGCCCCGAGCAGCATGGCCGCTAACATCTACGTATTGGACGAGATGCAGAAGAAGATGAAGATCCCGTTTTGGTCGCCAGAGATTGGCCCTAATGGGTCGTGCATGCCGTTGTACGTGAATGTGGAGCCTTACGGTACATATGGCGCCATGTTCCCGACGATCGCCGAGTGCAAGGCTGAGTTGAAGCGGAGCCTCTCGTGGATCAGCGAACTCATGTTCGAGCCTGAGCTGTACTGCGTCAAGATCCCGCCGCCAGGCGAGCCGATGCCGACGGCGCCAGTTCCAGAAGGCGACTACCCGCTCAATGACAATTGGGTCGTGAACGACCGCGTGGCGCTCTACATCAACATCCCGTTGCCGGAGGCTGGCCACCCGCTGGAGTGCGACATGACGCAGAATCGCGAGGGCGAGAAGAAGGACGCCAAGGACGCGGTGAACGTGACGACCCCCGGGAGCGACACCAGCAGCATCAAGGGGTGGGTGCACGCGAAGAGCGCCGAGGACACGCAGCAGCAGTTCACCATCGAGGAGGTCTACCAACTGGGAGTCGCAGCGGGCGTGCAGAAGCAGCTGGAGGCCGCCAGCAGCTCGGCGTAGGCTTCCACCCGACGGCCTACCCGACGACCAGAGACTCGGCCTACCCGACGGCCTACCCGACGGCTTACCAGACTCCCTACAGGACAGCCTGAACCCGATGCGAGACTCGACGCCCGGCCTGCAGGCCTGGCTTTCGCCGACTCGGCGCGCTTGAAAATGAGCGCAGAGGCCCCGAGGTCCCCAGAGGCCCTCAAGAGGCCCTCGTCATCATCATCATCATCATCATCATCATCGTCATCATCACCATATTAATCATAATCAGCATCACCATCAGCATCATCGTCATAATCATAGCACTAGCATCAGTTACATCATCCCGTCGTCACCGTCAGCATCATCACCGCCATCATCATCATCAGCATCATCATCATCGTCATCATCATCATCGTCATCATCATCATGATCATGATCATCATCATCATCATCATCATCATCATCATCATCATCACGGCCCCGAGAGCGCCCCACGAGCGCCCCGAGAGGGGCCCAAGAGGCCCCAAAGATAACCCCAAAACGGCCCAAGGCTTCCAAGACGCTCCGAAACGGCCTGGGCCCCAAGACGGCCCGAATGGGGTCTGGAATAAGGGGCGGGCGGGATCCCCGACAAGGGTCAGGGTATCGTTTTTTTCGGTGCTGAACTCGTCTGGTCCAGGTCCACAGTGCTCGTCTGGCATATTGTCCTCCTCCTCCTCCTCCTCCTCCTCCTCCTTCTCTTTGCCTCCCCCGCCCCCATCATTTTTCCGTTGTTCCCCATCCTCATCTCCTCTTTCTTCGGCTCCTTTCACCCTCCCCATCTCCTCTTCCTCCTCTGGGGCACGTGCGGGTCTCTCAAGGCTCCGCCACTGCGTCCTCGCGGATCTGCTGCTCCTTTATGATGCCGCCCTCAACTCTGCCCTGGTCTGAATCGAGGCTGTGCTGCGACACTTGTTTGAGGTTTGCGACGAAGGTTCGGAAGGTTCGGACCCGGCAGCGGAGGACCTTCGTCCTGTGCTTCTCGATCTTGAGGGCGATCCTGAGCTTCTGAATCTTGCGCTCGGGAGATGTCATTGTTGACAGAGCGAGCACAGAGCACTGCTGACAGGGCGGTGAAACCGAGCCTCTCTCACTGAATCTGAGACAAATGGCTGTGACGAGTGGTGAGATTGAAACCGAGCCTCTCTGAATCATGTGACTACTCCTGCGGGCACTACCAGTAGTAGTCGCAGTAGTAGCTTAGTAGTGGTCGCAGTAGTCCACTGCTACCACTACCACTACCACTGCGACTATTACTATTACTATTACTACTACTACTACTACTACCACCACTACTACTACTACTACTACTACTACTACTACTACTACTACTACTACTACTACTACTACTACTACTACTACTACTACTACTACTACTACTACTGCTGGTCCTGCTTTTGGTGCTGGTACCGTAACTGCTACTGGTGATACTCATTTTCCCACGTTTACGTCTACCGACGCATCTTCTACTATGCAAGAGTATTGCCAAGACTACGTTTAGCGTTGTCTCTTCCCTGAACATCATATTACTAACACATGTTTTCATGCCGCATCCACACGGCCGTTGCTACATGACGGATAGAATATGTCCTCAACCAGAACTTGCCTCTGTAGGGTTCTTAGCGGATTCTCATGGTTAGGTGAGTTCACCGCCGATTGCCGCGGCCCGCCCGGGTGCCCGGGTGCATGGGCATCCTATAGCCCTACAGCCTTACAGCCCTGGAGCCTTATAGCCCTAGAGCCCTGTGGCCCTATTATAGCCCTGGAGCCCTTTTTATAGCCCTGTAGTCCTAGAACCCTAGAGCCCTATGGTTCTATGGCCCTATAGCCCTATAACCCTATAGCCATATAGCCCCATTGCCTAACAGCCCACTAGCCCTATATCCATATAGCCATATGGCGCAACTTATAGCACTATCCCATCACCAACATATGGGTCATACAAAATCATAAAGATAGCATCACTCCCATCACCAAAGACATTGTCATCATCACTGTCAGTACCGTAAGCCGTTTTGGCTGGTTCAGAGTTGCTAGCTTCTTCTCGAAGCAGGGTTTCCACCATGCCCAAGAGAGGGAAGGCTAACCCCACCGCCAAAGCCCCCGCCGCCAAACCACCGCCCAAACCACCCAAACCAAACGCCCATGACGACAGCTCGACCGCGCAGCAAGACGCACCTATCGATCCAGACGTGGTCAGCCGCAACAGGCAGCTCACCGCGATGGTCTCCGAAGCGAAATCTATCATCCTGGCCCACCAAGTGATGAGCGACATTTTGTTCGCCGAGCCGCTGAAGCCGATGACGACCCTAGCCCGAGGAGCGGAGATCACAGATGAGATGAGGCTGAACTCATCGACCAGGGCCCCCTACAACGCTGCTGAGTGCGAAGTCTCGCTCCAGATCCACAAGAGCTACAAGTCTGCGAATAATTTATTCTATATCGACCCCTTCTCGAATCCTGCGAACTACGCTGCGGTTTCCCTGGCCAGGGTCGAGAAGCTGGCCGACTTCGCTTACAAGAGCCCCTTCGAGAGCATCGACTGCACGATCACCGCCTGCATGAGCTCCTCCGAAAAAGTTGACGACAAGAAGGGGTCCCTCGTGCTGCTGTCTCCTCAAGAGGACCTTGGCCGAACAGATACGCCGACGCATCCTCAACGAGCCTGGCCGGCATTTGCCGGGAAGGGAGCGGTGTGCAGATTCGCCTCCTCTGGGAGAGGGCAGCAATCTATGCGCCGCTCTCCTCCGTGCTCATGCTGGCTAATCTCGCCGGGGGTGCAGCGGCGTATGCATGTCTGCTTCTACAGGAGCTCTGGGCCCCCATCATCGGCGCGGGGAGGATCATCAAAGACTGCAGTCCCAGCGACACGGAGGTGCTGATGATGAGGAAAGCGTTCCTGCCCATCGACCTGGAGATCAAAATCGAGGACTCGGCCAGAGACCGCTTGTGGAAGGCCCACGACATCCGCGAGAAGATCATCCAGTCTGGCAACACAGTGGAGAGGACTGCCTTGCAGCGCGCGTTTGACGTGATGCAGGTTGCGCTATCCACCAGTCCTCGGATGTCCCCCATGGCCCTGTGCAAGGTTTGGGAGCAGAAGGTCAGTGTCAACACGAAGGCGGAGAAGATGAATGATGGGTACGTCGACGCGGTCTACACGGTCTTCAACCGACTGCTCAATCACCCCGAGACGAAGAATTTGCTCCTGGATGCGGATGCGAAGGACACGAACAACCTCAACTCCATCTACAAGCTCGAAGCGATCGTCAAGCGAGCCTCGTCTCCAGCAGGCATCCAATGGTGTGTGTCGTACTGCCTCGACTATGGGGAGAAGCTGTCGCTGACCCATCTCAGCGGGAAGGGGATGCCTGGAGGCAAGGGCTTCTTGGACGTGGCCATGTGCAAGAATGAGCTCGCGCTCGCGTTGCTGTCTTGGCGGAAGGCCCTGCCCATCCAGCTATCCGAGGAGCTGTCGCTCAGGCTTCAGGGGTGGTCTCAGGGGATGCAGGACTTCCGCAAAGACATGAACGAGGTGAGCGTCGCGTGGTTCGGAGGTCTACCGGTGGCCGACCAGTCTTTCGTGAGAATCTGGGAGGATTGGATCGGCAACACTGAGCACGACGCCCTCATCAAGACCCACAAGATCAGCGGGGCAGCCACGCACGAGCTACTATCAAAGGCGCCCCTGAAAGATCGGCTCGCGAGCGTGGAGGAGTTGACCGAGAAAGATTCCATGATGACTCCAAATACGAAGGCGGCGACATCACTTCAAGCAATGACGGTGTCTGGCGTATCCCCGATCAAGTCCGAGTGGGTGAAGCACATCAAGGACGAGGATGGCACCTTGCAGAAGTGGGTCGACTACGCTAAGAACCTCGCCAAGCGGTATGTGACCTTCGTCGTTGACCCGAAGGATCCCCGGCGCATTGCAGACGCGATCACGAATAGCGACTGCCCCTTCAGCAGCATGCGCGGCTCGGACGGCGAGAGGTACATCTTCGTGATCTACGAGGCGAAGAAATGCGGTGAGAGCTCAGCGCGCCCTCACATCAAGACCTGCCCCTTCAGGGAGGAGCACTGCCTTCGGATGATCAAGGGCTGCATCTTGGGCTTGAGCAACCCTGAGTGCACGCCTGGCGACGCCATCCCCCCAGGGGTGGCCTTCATCTACCTGGGCGGCCATACGCACGGCAACGAATGCAAGTTCGTTCGGTGTTTCACGGACACTAAGGGCAAGACACTGCCGAAGGAGAAGAAGTTGTTGTTCGTGCAAACGGCGGCCTCCAAGACGTTTACAGAGAAGGAGAGGCTGTCTGGCATCGGCAGCCTGGAGACCATCGAGTTCACGCATGCCATCACGCAGAACACCTTCAGCGTACCAGGAAAGAAACGGCTGCATGGCACCGCGGACTCGACGAACCTGGCCGACTTCCTTGGGCCATTCAATCGCCAAGACAGGGACGGACCAGATACCATGCGGGTGAAGCACTCTGAGAAGCGCAAGCTGCTGGCAGACGCACTAGTTGCTGCTGGTGGAACCGTCGCTGGAGACGCAGGTACGGCAGGCCCGGGACAGAACGAGATGGCGCCGATGAGTTGGCACGGTGTCGAGGCGAAGTTCTACCATGAGCTTGCGCACTCGTACAGCGGCAAAGGGTGGATCTCGCTGACGTGCATGGACACAGTCATCCCGCTTGCGGCGGTGCGCGCCAAGCATCCAGCTCTATGCTTCTGTTACAGCGAGGAGCACAAGCAGCGCCTGGAGGATCACCTGGCCGAGAGCATCTTCAAGGCGTTCTCCAGGGAGGGCGACGTCCTCTTCGAGCCCTCGGTGGTCAAGGACAACAGCAAGGTCGGCGGCAGCCCGCCCGATCTCCCGCTGCTGCCACCGAGGAAGAAGCGGCCTTCCTCGAAGCGCGCCCCCCAGGACGGCGGTGGAGATGCTATTGCTGAGAAGGGCTCGAAGCGGAAGAAGCTGCTCGAGAAGCTCGCAGCCATGGACGATGGCGCTGGGGATGACCAGGATGATGAGGAGATCGAGGACGATGACCAAGCCTGAGCTCTGGCAGGTCGCGCGGCCTGATCGCCGCTGCCCGCATGGGTAAGCAAGCGATCCAGAAGGGGAGGGCAGGGATGGGAG